TTGGACCACAGAGGCTTCAGAATAATATAAAATCAGGACGGCAGTTATACAAATGCCCTTATCCTATACACCCTTAACTTTCATGTAGGCTTAGGTCTTTGTTTTGGGACCTCTGGCAGTTAGATAACAGCAGCTACAGAGGCTCTCTGAGATAGCCAGCTTAAATTCCACGAATGGTGCACTGTGGGGAGTCCTAAGCAGAGGGAGATATACCCTGCCGACCCAGGAACAAACTAAGCTGAGAGAAACCAACTGGAAATACAATCCCAGTGCTACAACTGGAACAGCTAAAGTCTTAGCGCTGCAGCTGGAACCCGCGCCTCTAGAAACCACAGCTTCAATTTCCTGCCACTGCTGCTGCATCTGAATCAGCACAGCAAGGATAGAGATGCGAAAGCTCTGAGAGCGGGAATCAGCAAACCAAATTGAGAACAGAGCTAGTGGAGAGCCCTGCATTGACCTGCAGTGAGTGGGAGGAATGGGGACCCTTCCACAGAGTAGGAGGCTCCAACAGAGGACATTCTGGGACCGGGCAGACTAGCCGGAACAGGACACTGCAGTGACTTCAGTCACATATTCCTCTCTCAAGTGAGATAGGTGGGGAGCACTTGATCTGGGTGACACTGTGGACTAAGACCCAGTAGGCTAGCCCAAACCAGGTCCCTGCACCTGGCAGTGCACCCTAATGCAGTGAAGCCTCCAGCAGGTTGACTGAGCTGGAGGGGAGGGTCCAGCATAGGTTGCTCCAGTCTGTGTCTGCCTAGTACACTGCAGTGGGTAGGAACACCTAACCGGCGCTATTCAAACAAACTGTAACTGACAAATAAAGAAACTGGGCCTCCTATATACACTTGTAGGGAGGGGAAAAAAAGTATGGGAAGAGGGAGCAACAAAAAAGGGTCCTTAGTCCCCAATCCTGAAAATGCTGATCCAGGAAAGGTAAATGCAAAGGAGAATGATGACTGAAAACATGCAATATCAGGCACAGAAACAATAGACATAAAGCGGTATCTCCGGGAACTCATAGATGAGTTCAAAAGTGAAGTATTTAACCAAGTAAAGCAAGATATAAGTAGAATAGTTAAAGAAATGCTAAGCACCGCCCAAGAAAAAACAGATGGTAGAATGGAAGAACAGAAAAAAAAGGGGAGAATTGTTTGATGGAGAAAATAGAGAAAACATAGAATACATGAAGCAGGTTCAAAGAGATTACCAGGAAACTAAAAACTCTATTGAAAGCTGGCATAACAGCTTGAAAGAAACTAAGGATAGATTATCTGAACTGGAGGACAGATTTGTAATGTGGGAGCATGAAATGAAAAACTTCTTAAAAATAACAAGGAAACGAGCAGTAACAAGACAAATGCTACAGGATGATAAGAGGATCTACAGCTTAAGAATTAAGAATGTAAAGGAAGAAGCAGGGATACAAACAAATGAACTGCAAAGGCTATACACAGAAATAATCAAGGAGAACTTCCCTAATATGGGAAAAGGTAAAGATACTCAGATCTATGAAGCATACAGGACCCCAGCTACCTACAATCCAAAAAGAACTACACCTAGGCATATAATAATCAAAATTCCAGAAATCCGATATAAGAACAGAATATTAAATGCTGTCAGAGACAAGAAACAGATCACTTGGAACACCAAGAATTACAGAACACCAGAATTACAGCAGACTTCTCAGGACAAACCATCAAATCACGAACAGCATGGGGCAAAATAATTCAAGCTTTGAAAGACAATAACCAGGGGCTGGGGATTTAGTTCAGTGGCATAAGCACCTGCCTTGCAAGCAGGCAGTCATGAGTTCGATCCCTGGTACCGATAAAAATGAAAAAAAGACAAAAAAAAAAAAAAAAAAAAAAAGAAAGAAAGACAATAACCTCCAGCCAAAATTGATATATCCTGCATAACTGTCCCTAGAAATTAATGGAGAAACAAGGTGCTTCCAGGATAAAGAGGAACTAGGGGAATTTGTAACCACCAGGTCAACTCTACAGAGAATACTACAGGACATTCTAAAAGAGAAAAACACCAAGATTCCAGAAACAGTGGCAGAGAGGCCACAATGAATGGAGCAGAAAGCGAAATGAAGAAGATAAACTGACAACTAATGACAGAAAAAGAGCTCAACAGAAATGAGGCAGAGAAGGTTGGATGGAAGGAACAGCTATTTTGGAGAAAACAAGACATCATAATAGCTAGTGCTGATTTAATATCATCTTGTTTTGAAGCCCCATCGAGCTTTTGTTCTTCTGTCTCCATCAGTCTTAACATGTTGTATCTTATTGAATTTTATTATATGTGATAATATAAACAAAAACTTTTATAGACAAGGAGATTATACAGAAACCATTGTTCATGTTCTGTTAGTTGTTTCTAAATACCCTGCAATACTGTCATTCTCTTGAATGGTTTTACATTATCTTGTATATGAAGTTATACTCAAAAGATTTCAAGGAAAGAGACACTATGATAACTACTTTTATGTCGGGATATCTTGTGGTGAAACACTATTTTGCTTAAATGGTTATGTTTTGACCTCTGCTGTTTTGTTGTTATGTCCTCTTTTATCTCAATCTTCTTTTTATTACTTACTTTTTCATTTTTATCCTTTTAATTAAGGGAAAAATAAATAAAAAATAGCAGGATATATTATAGTAACCCAGTTTGGTTTCCTTTTAACTTGATTTGAAACCCTGTATTGCTCTCACCATCTTGTTTTGACTGACTTTACTCTATTCTGTTTTGCTTGACAGTACCAAGTTGGAGAGTACAGACAACAACTGTGAAGATAATAAGATTCACTATGATGCCCATTTAGGTTTGACTATTATCTTCTTTTGAAGTCCTGTAATGTCTCCAATGTTTTGGTTTTATTGGTTTTGTTCTTTATTGTTTTATTCAATTTTATTATAACTGATGATATAGGCAGTTCATTTTAAGATAGCAAGAGGCATTATGGTAACCATTGTTAATCACCTTGTATTCTGTTTTTACATTATGTACTATGTCCATCCTTTTGATTTAAATGACTCTGTTTTGCTTATGTCACATTTGGTTTTATTCTCTTCAAAAAAAAAAAAAGTAATAAGAACTGTAGGAGTAATAAAACCCAAAATGTGTAATTGTCACTATAAAAAAGAGAGGAAAAGAAAGTGCTCTAAAGGATATAACTGCATGTATATTTAAGCATATAAGATAGATAACCATATTACTCAGTTTTTGTTGGATCATTAACAGAACTGTTTGCAGTCTTACTGTTTGAATGTCCACTTTATATGCTTTAATTTTGTAACTTGAACAACTATTTCTATGATAATATGTAATATATTAACTAGTGATTTGCTACTATTTATCTTTTTTGAAATTCTGTATAACTTGTACCCTTTTTCTGTTTTTTTTTTTTTTCTCCTTAAACAAAATTTTTTTTAAAGGCTTAGTTTTGTTTGTTTAAGTCAATGGTACTACACACAACCACATGACAGATAAGACACACTCATTAACAATCATTCAAACACCAAAAGAAGTTTTTAAAATTCCTAACAGGCAAAAATATGTTACAGGTTAAGGGGAAAAGTAGGATATAAGAATGGACTGTGATTTTAAAACAAGGAAAGAAATCTAGAACATTCAACAGAGACTGTATCTAAATAGCAGGATTCAGGAGATTTTTTTTTCTTTTTTAAATGTTTTTTATTTTTTAACATAATCTTAAGTCCATAATTAAAGGGGAGAACTCTCTTTATAAAGAAAAACATTCCCCCACTAATTTTCCTAAGCAGAAAGAAGATATTCTCCTAAAAACATATCAATACAACATGGTAGAAATTCCAGAAATACAGGTTTGGAAGGAAACACCATTATTACCTACTATCGATGGGAAAGAAAAAAAATTCTTCTATTGCTACCGGTCTGGAAGAATTAAGTTGTAGGGTGTGTTACAGGAATGCTGGCAGGAGGAGTTGCTTTGCAGTCAGGGTCACAGCTTTGTAGAGCTCAGCCCAGGAAAAAATGAACAGGTGCAGCCGATGAAGCAGCAGACCGTGCCAGCCAAGTGATGCTGGCCCCGTCCAGAAATCCCAGCCTGCAGCAGCTTCTCCCTGGTACCTGCCATGTACCAGGTCCCGCCACATGGCCAAAGGGTCAGCCCATGAACAGGAAGACTCTGAGCACTGGAGCCCTGCCCAGAGCTGAGAGAGGACTGGTAGCATATTATATGGGACCTGCAGGTTTTAAATAACCACACCAAGCCAATCTATGCTCATTAGGCAACAGGCTAAGCATCTTGTACAGACACAACTCTGCTTATCAACAAATACACACACGTGGCCAGACTACAACACAGATCAGTGCTGCAGCTTTGGACATTTACATTGAAACACTTGACTCTGTGGTACTCTGAAAACAGTAATGCAAACCCAGTAAACAAGACAAGTTAAAAATCACATTCAGCATGCTATTGATTACACAGAAACCCTCAGCCCCACTTGAACAGGCTCTTTTATTACCTCATATCTAGTAAATAAAGACATGTCTCATAGAGAAAGAAAAGGGAAACTAGTACAGGAAAAGTCAGCTACCCTTTCCCGAGACTTAACAGACAATGTGTGGCGTCAACAGCACATCATGTCCTGATGTCTGCAGGTAGCCACCGTGGCCAACTTCCAACTTACCGACTGCTCCAGATCACCTGCAGCACACGACCGACACCAGGCCTCTCCAGCTACCGTGTGCCAGAACGCAATGGTACCAAGGCTCATCTGTCGTTTAGTTAACTGATTTTAAAAGACATGTTTCCAACCATCCTGTAAAACTCACTTAAAGGACTTTAAAATTTCAAAATAATATAGTGTAACTACACAAACAAATGCTAGCTCTTGTTGATTTGAAGGCGTATGTTTTTGTTTCTAAGTGCTAAACTGGCAGCCATCAACTTTCCCTAGCAGTAATTAAATAGGAGGAACATTAGATAAGGAAATTTAGCTTACCTCATCAAAGGTGGTGTCATCTTTCTTCAAAGCTAAAAAGTAAAAAGCAAAAGGAAACAGTTATTGTGAAACATCCCAGAAAGACCGAGTATCTAAGTTCTAGAAAACAAAAACCAAAAACAAAAGCAGTAGGGTGTTTTCATTTCACAAAGTAAAACTGTACCTCAATGTGAACAGCAACGTTATGATACAAATATGAAAGCTGCAAATAAGAAAGAATTGCACAGCATGCATCTTTGTGAAACATTTTTCATAAATATGCAAATGGAATGATCTTCCCAAACATAGAGAAGACATATACATATCTCTTCCCATCTCTTCTCTAGCTGAACATGCTTTACTGAAAGTATAAAAGAAGCACAAAGTAATCTTAAAGAAATTTCCCCTTGAAATCCTGTTTCTGAGCATGTATCATCAAGCATGGTGCAAGGCCCTCCAAAGCAATTGCTAAGATGACAACCACTCTTTTTAAATAGTAAAATAAAAGATAGATGATAGAAAACAGAGAGATAAACTAGGTGGAGATCGGAAGGGATGTGGAGTGCAGAGAAGAAAGGACAAGAAGGGAAGGGGAACCAAAAAGGATAAAGAGGCAATATATACAAATACCACACAATGACTGTTTTACGTATTTCAAAAATGTTAATCACGGGAAAAACATTATTTGCAAATGTTAATTAAATAAATTTCACAATTGTCTTAAAAAAGATAACATCCACTCTTCATAGTACCCTAAATGGTATTTTCATATTGAGCAAACTTGAAGCATTTAGATAAAAGACTAAGCATGTAAAATAAACACTGCAAAATAAAGGATATGATTCAAATGTTTCAATGTAATAATGTTTATTATAAAGTGTTTTCTTTAGAAAATAATGCATTCAGAGTATTCTATAGTATTACCAAATACTTCAAACTTATTTTAGATACAAGTTAAGTTCAGAACTAGAATTTTATCACTCTGAAGAAAAAGATAATATCACTTATGGTTGGCAAACATGAATTCTACAATTTCTCCATTTCCTATGAATACTAATTTGTCTGAAACTACTAGTTGCAGAAATGTTTCAAATTTACAGAATTATACATGCCTACATGTGTACTATCTATATTACATAGTCCTAGCCTGGTTAGGACTTGGATAGCTATTACTTAGAAAACTATTTTAAAACAAAAGCAATGAAAAAAATATTTTGGTAATTAAGCTCTGAGGAAAGTGATGTGCCTAAAATGAGGTGATCATATAAAAGTTAATAAGACACATATTCTCAGCAATCTTGAAAAAGTAATTTTCTCCATTTCACAGAGTAAATTTGTTTTTCCAAAAGGCTCAAGAGTATGTAATTATGGTAGTAAGTTAAGGGAAATACAATGTTTCTGAAAATTTAGTTCTTAGTTCTTCCCTTTTTCCCAGGAAACTGATCTAAAATAGATTTTTTTTCACTTTCTTTATTAAAGGACAATTTATTTTGAATAGGAATATGAAAAAAAAACTAGACAGTCCTTTGTCCCAGTCTCAGACAGCTAATTCTGCATTCATATTTGCATGTTTTATTATAAATCTGATATAATTTACAGTATTTTTTTTAAAAACCTATTTTGATGAAAAGATGTAAAACCTTAGATGATTCCTACCACCTACATTTTCAGTAGAATTTAACTTAAAACACAGAAGGCTCCCTATAAACAAAGCTACCTACTCACTTAACCCAACATATACCCTTTAATTAACAGACTAGTGAGTCCCTTACAAAATATTAGTGATTTTGAAAATATAGACACATTTCTTAATCAAAAACTCTCTAGTTTTTGGAGTAAGAAATGAACAGCTCATTGATTTAAAACACAAAGTTCCATGAAAACAAGTGTTACATAGTCTCATACCTACTTCACTTAACAAAGATGAATGGAGCACATATTCTAGGACTAACATGCAAGACACAGTGGGGTATAATTCAGAGAATAAACTTTTAAAGATACTTTCTCTGCTCTGAGCATTATAAGTTCTGGAAATTTAGCCATGTGTTTTCTTAAACAAAGCTAAACTACAAGTGATACCATCTCCTTGGGAATTACAAACATCAAACTGAAGTTAAGAAATGAAGATAGCAGAAAACCAGAATGTCTTGGACACCCACACTGGACCGCTTCCTGCTTGCCTCCTAAATCCTGGCAATCTTTCCAACCTCCTGCATGAAGAAATGCGGAACTAAAGGTAACAAGAGAAGAAGAAAATAAAGAAGCAATTGCAGATATATTGGCTAAGGATACAAGAAGCAGGAAGCCAGAGTTTCTCCCCTGCAGAATACTTGGAAGTCCAGAGTACAATAAGGGAGAAAATTTTTAGACCAAGGAATCCATAACTTAACTAAAATCTTTCACTGCTAAACTGACAACTAACATGATTTCTTCCGTATTGACTCTTTCTCTGCAAAACAGTTAATCGGGACAACACAGACCAATTAAAGTGTCCTTGCCAGATATTTATCAGGTCACTGATGAACACTCTCTGACCTAAACATGCACCACAACATCTTGTTATTGATTACATTCCTTGATTGTCATTAATCATTTATGTAAATGTAAAATAGAAACTGTCTTCAAGGATATGAGGAATACCAAGCATACTGCATTATTCTAGATTGATAAAAGGGTATACGCTAAATAGTATGAGATAACCAGATATTCTATTCAGACCCCTGCTCAGATGCTGCTCTCTCTAGCAAGCTTCTCATAACTTTACCAAGGTAAAGTAGGGCTCCTCCTGTGGTCTCCCAATAGCAAATTTCACTAATCCACAAGGTAGATGTTGTCACTTTATATTGTCAATACCTATTCATTAGTTTGTCTTCCCTTAAAATCCTTGCAGTCAGGCACCAGATACCACAGGCAGTAAATCTGAGTGCCAGCACATAGAATGCATTCAGTAACACACTAATGGATTAGTAAAGCCTGCCTCAGTGGCAAAAGGAGGGCATCTTATATTGTGAGACAACACTGAAGTTTCGAACATGTGAAAACTACACATTTTTCTGTCTTATGAAAGAACTATTGAGCTAACTCTCAAATTAATTTTTTCTTCTCCTGTGGTACCAGGGAGCAAACTCAGGGCCTTACACGCCCTACCACTGAGCTACAGCACAGGCCCAAATTAAAACCTTTTGAAACTTCGCTGTAAAGAGATATGGCACAAAAGCTAAATCCTATGTCCAAACCTTTAACCTTACATTTCTCTTTTCTGACAGAATGGGCTCATCAAATGACAATTGGGCTCTAGGATTACACACTCACAGCACAATGTGATGAACCCAAACATTCAGGGTAATCCCAGACTTGTCCTTTCATTCGGTTCTCTCACAAACCACCTCCTCTAAAGAAATGGTATACATGAGTCCATCTCAAATATCACAGAGCATAAACTTCCTTTCTCTAGGACTGGATCCAAATAAATGTGAAGAAATGCATTCGATTGAATGTGAAGAAATGTCAGTTTGACATTAATCACACACTAGCTATTGCACAGAGCCTTTAGCTTCCATGCAAAAATGGAAAAGAAACAAGGAAAGAAGAAATAGATTACAATATATTTAAGCTATTCAATAATTAAATTCCCATTTGTCTTTGTTTGCCTAAATGTGAAAAAAAATTGTGAAACTACTAATTTCAAACTAGGAACCACACTGACACTCTTTAGTGGAAAACCATAAAAACTACTGAAACTGATGGCTGATTTTAAAATTCAATTATACACATCTTATAAAAGAACCATGGCCATATTATAGTCATTTCCTGGCAGATGTCATAAATTAGAGCACGGTGGCTTAAAAGCTAATGTGTTTTATTAGATTTTTTATAATGCTGTAATCTCAGGTCAACTGTATTTGGGGTGGGTGGTGACAAATCCAGCAAGATCTCTATTCCAATGAGTGAATAAACTAACCATCAGCATTTCTACTTTTGGTATTCAGAACTGTTGTTATTGATGGTAAACACTGCCTGAGTATCACATACATTTATACACTGTTCTCATTTTGATTAGTGATTAGTGATTAGTGACTTCTTATGGCTAACCAATGATATTGCACAATTTAAGAAATAACAAATAAGAAAACAAAACGAAGTCCTGTTTAGTTCAAAAGCCATCTTAGATTGGTTAAATGGAATGAATGCATTGCAATTTGGATTATTCACCTAGAGTAAATCACTCTTGGAGCTCATGAATGGGGGACAGAGGGGACAATAGAGATAAAGAGAGAAAGTGGGAGGAATAACAACAGCCTCCAGTATTGATTTTCACCATGTGGTGATAGGTATTGCATCAGATATTTTAGATATTCTGTCTCATTCAATCTTCACAACAACTGCATGAAGATTTACAGATGAGAATTCTGGAATTTGGGGAATTATTACCAGTTGCCCAAGACTCAGGAAAAATAGGGTTTAAATGCATGACCCCCTACCTCTGAAACCCATCCTGCTTTCAGACTGACTACTATCAAGTCAATGGCCATCCCCCCCCACCTTCTCTTGCTTCCTACCTATAAGGTCATTTATATCAGAGTGCTATGATCCCTAACATAATGACAACATATTTTGAACATTTATTGCGTCTTTATTACATACCACACAGGACATCATGTGCTTTACTTCATTAAGTACCAACAACAAAAACTGAGACACACATAGAAACTGAAGCTCAGAGAAGTTAAGGGACCCATCAAAGGTCACTTAGCTAGGGAGTGGTAATATCAGGAATTTCCAATCTGTCTGACATTTATGTAGCTTTGATGCTACATAAATCTATATAGTAAAACCTCAATTCAACAGCCTCTCATACTTCAAAATCTAAATCATAATTATTTCAATACTTTGGATTTTGTAAAAACAAACCAAGAAAATAAGTAAAAAAGTTTTATTTTTCTGTAGTGATAGCCCTAATGAACATTCTGGGCTTGGTACATACATATCCATAATCACTTAAAACTTCAGTAACTCCTTTTACAGTATTCTACGATGAAATTTGCTATTCAAATCACAGACTTCAATACAAAAAAAATCAATTATGTTCACCACACTGTACCATTTCCTAAAGGGAGAATATAAAAATCCACTAGATCTTATAAGATATTTTTAACAAGAGCTGGGTTCAAAAGGAGGCTCACATCACTAGATCTCACTAAACTAGAAAATCCAATTAACTGTAATATCCCACTTGTCAGTATTGTAGTTAATCCAAATTTTACTGATTGTCAATCAAAACCTTGGAAAATGTAAACATAAAGAATTTTTATATTAATGTTCTTGATTTCTTACTGAGATTCAACTGCAATTAATTATTTAACACAAAACTGGAGGGGTTCCAACTGAGTCATTACCGTTAGTAAATACATAGTTAATGTGTTTGAGAACAGGGCTTAATGGACTTCAGAACCTGCTTCTGTGATAGTTTGGGTCAGGGGCTGAAAGTCAACACCTTGCTCTCTCACACTCTTCCTGGCCCCAAATTTCATGTGAATGTAGGGATTCCTACTGGTTCCCAGCTGAAGAATAAAAACTGCAACTATCCAATAAACCCATTACATAAAACCAGGACTAAATACAGGTTTCATAACATAAATTTACAGTGACTTTGCGAAAGGATTTTATATACCAATACACAAATTTAAATCAAAAAAGATTAAACGTTGATTTATATTTTCTCTCACTTGAAAGTTTGCCTAATTTATAATGAATTTGCAGAAGGAGAGCTGTAACATTCATTGGCACTCCAGGGTTTTAAGGAATTAGCACGTTGATGATTATTTTTTACTAACACCTTCATTAACATGGACAATATGTGAAACAAAGGCGGGAAGGTTTCTTGGGCACTTTGATTTTGTTGTTGTTTGTTTGCATTAGTTTCTTGCTGAGGGCAGTTACCTGTATTAATGAAAAGTTATGACAGGAGGAAGCAGCTGCGTCTTCAGGTTCAAAGAGGGTTTTCTACACTGCAAATCGAACCAGCTCATTCCACACTACAGTGTTGTCACCCTGTTTAGCCTATGACATGATGCATTTTTAAGTATCCTAATCACTCCTAGGCCGGTGTTTGTTAATTGGTTGGCTTCGAGACAATAGCCCCTGCGCTCTAGTAAGTAGAACAAGTTCGGGAGACATTCCTAAACGTCCAACAACTTCGCAAAGCGCATTTGTTCCCAGCTGCTGAAGAGCCAGAGACCTCGAGCCTCAACACCCAAGAGTGGCTTTCTAGGACCCGAAGTCCCAAACAAAAGGTCCCAAGGTGTCTGTCCCACTTCTCTCATCCTCAAAACCAGGGCACGATCCAACATCTCACCAATTTCTAAAGCTAAATGAGTGACAAAATATCCTATACCAAAGCCTCCGAGCAAAATAAAAACCGAGGGGCCAGGGCGGTCGCACAGCCCAGCCCGGGGGCAGCGGTGCCAGGGTGTCCCCCGTGCGGGCGCCAAGGACTGCGCAGGGAGCAGGAACCCGGCTGAAGGCTGGAAACAGCCCGCAGCGAAGCCCACCTCGGGGACGGGAGCACTTCTCCATCCCTGGACTGCGCCCCCGCGCCAGTCCCAGCCCACCGTGCAGCCGCGGCCGCAGCCTGGAGCGCAGGCGGGAGGGGACGGCTCGCCACTCACCGATGCGGCTGAAACTCTCCGACAGAGTTCTCCGCAACTTCTTCATCTTGCCGATCTTCTCGGCCGGCTGCGATTCAATGAGGTCGCACATCTGGGCGACGCAGGGCCCCTGCAACTTCCCCAAACTGGTCCAGAGCCGACCGCAGACAACGGCGCGGGCGCGGGCGCGCGGCGCGGGGACGGGAAGGCGGCGCCTGGGCTCCGGCGGTGCTCCTCCTCCGCCTCTTCCCGGCCGGAGGCGCCGCGCGGGGCTCGGGGCTGGGCGGCGCGGGCTCGGCCCGGCCCGGCGGTGGGCTGCGGGCGGTGGGTGGCTGGGCCGGCCGGCTGCGGCGGGAGGGGCGCTCTACATGGTGCCGGGGGCCGCTGCGCGGGACTCGCGCTGCTCGGCCGCCCGGCTCATTTTCCCTCCTTTGTAACCAGGAGGAGCGCGGCCGGCGGGGGCGTGGGGCGCGGCGAGGAGGCGGCGGCGGCGATTCGGAGCCCGCGCGCGGAAGCTCGGGGGACCGAGAGCGCGGGCGCGGGCGCGGAGAAGTTGGCGGCCCCGATTCGCAGTCCCGGCCAGGGAGAAGCGCGGCCGGGACCCGCCGCCCACTCGCCCGCCCCTAGTCTCCTCCGCCCCTCGGCGAAGGCCCCGAGCGCGGGACCCCGGCGCGACCCCGGTTCCGAGCCTCCCTGCGCCCTGAGGCCGGCTCGCTCCCGACGGCGCCCTCTCCCGGCCGCCTCTCGCCGCCCGCCCCGCCCACGCGCGAGGACAGCGTCCGCGATCCGCTGGGGCCCAACTCCGGCCGCGCGAGGCTGCGGGGCGGGAGCGCGCTGGCGGAGCGGCCTCGGTGCCTCCCGGAGTCGGGCGCGGCGCCCCGGACGCCGCACCGGGACCTGGGGACCTTAGCGGGCTGGTGGAAATGTTTTGTTAATTGTGCAGAAGCATCTGTAAAGTGAAAAACTCAAAGGTAACGACCCCCACCCCCACCCCGGCCTTGAGATCAAGTGCAGAAGCGGAAGCTTTGGCTGTAACCCCGGGAGGCATGGCGCAAGATCTGCCCCCAACGCGGTGTCTGGCACTGGGGACCCGAATGGAGTGTCTTGGGTTTCTAATGTGAATACCCTGTTCTGCAGAAAATGCCGGACAGTCTTTAGTCTAGTGTTCCCTGTTTTTATAATACACCTCTGCCTTAGAAGTTGTAGCAGCTCAAAAAGATGCTGGCTTCGTTTTCCTCCACATCAAAGAGAGAGACAGAGAGAAGAAGAGGAGGAAAAGAAAAAAGAAGAGCAAGAAAGAGAAAGAGGAATAAGGGATACTTTATGAAACCCCAGGACAAACAGTTCTGGCAGCGGACACACTCATCTTCATTCCAATAAAGTGCGGTGCATCTGGAACTCCAGACCTCACCCTCCCTGGGGAGAATGAAGGAAGACAGGGAGGGCCTGGAAGTGATGACGGGCCTCGAGGTCTTATGAATAGAATACTTGCGATCCAGTCATCTGGTTTTGTGAACTGTAACAGCTTGCCAGGGCGTGACAGTGCTGTGTGGTTTAAAGGAAGTTTTAGGAGTTCGTGTTTTGCTAAAACATTTTTATCTTAAAAAGTAGCCCCCTGCCTTCCATAAATTGTGAAGTGGAATACGGATTTGTTCTGCACACTACCAGGCCCTGATAGATTACTGCTAATAAAAGGCAGGAAGTCGGCCAAGTGCAGGGCAGAGAGGGCCAGGAGTTCTCAGGAGTGTCAGTATGAGAGCAGACACAAAGATGTTGGCTCCTGGAGTCGCTCACTAGATGATTGCAGACAGCACCAAATGTGGCCTCATACAGGAAAAAGTTTTGACTTTTACTACTTCCTCAGATTAGTTAAGGAAAAAGCTGTAAACGGTTATGAATGAAGAGAAAAAAGCAAGCCATCAAAACACTAACAGGTTTCTAGAAGTCAATGAAGATGAAATGACAATCATTAATGGAGTAGATTTAGACAAATATGGTTGTGGTGGTGCTATTGTTCATGCTGAGAACTGTTTCAAATGCAGTGCCCATGTGTTAATGTATATTTCTTTTACCTCCCTAATATTTCTGGCTCTTGAAAAAATAACCAATTTTTGCTTAATAGTTTATTCATACAAAGATAAGCATGCAAACATTTGTTAAAGTGAAATAGGTTAACATGTATTGATTTATATCCAGGGCAAATGATAAAGACATTTAATGTTAAATTATTTGTGGAAAAAATACACATCGGTATGTTTCCATATTGCTGGAAATTTTCTAAAAAAAAAAAAAAAAAAAACAGGTAACCCTCCATTATCTGTTCAACTGTTCCCTTTCTTGGTTATTTATCAAAGTAGCAAAGTTTACAATAAACTATAGTACAAAAAAGGAAATTAACATCACGCTTTTAAGAGATAGATTTCTACTTTACCATTCAACTCTTTGTGTAGTTACTTACTTCACATTGGCCTTTGTCTTAGATTATGTTCCCTGAGGGCAGGGACTGTAAGATATGAAATATGTCAAATGAATGTAAATTGGAGAACAGACTCTGAGAAGCAGTGAGTTGTGTTTGGAAAGCTGACTCCCGAGCTTCAGTGTGGCTCATGTCTTTTCAGCAAATAAAAGATGGATCTGTGTCAGTTCTCTGTCTCAGCGCCTAGTTCAAAAGGTCACAGCTGTGGATGGCCTAAATTAAAGGTGCAGCAACTTGAGTATAAACATAAACTCATTTGAGGGTTCGGGTCACCATGATTTGACCTGAACCCAGACTCAGGAATTAAAACATTCAGGTATATTAGGCCGTGGAACCATAGCAACAGGATTTAGGGACTCAGGACTCAGAAGGTCTAGTCCCTACTCCACCACCAACTGTTGAACAGTGGACCCTGAAATTCATCAGAGTTCCATTTCTAAAGCACCAGCGAATTATAAAAAAACTGAATTTCGGATATGGCCTGAAAGATACCTATAAATGCCTATTTTTATAGTTTAAATCCTAAATACACTATGTCTCCCACAGTTATATAATTTAATTTAATAAAATCCTGTATTAAGAAGGGCTTCGATGGTACAGGACATTTTTGGGGCATCTTAGGGATCTTAAAGCTTTAAGAAGAACAAAACCCAGAACACTAGGCACACACACACACACACACACACACACACACACACACACACACACACACACACGTACGGAACAGCAACCTGTTATGATAGGCCAATGCTGGTGCCTCTGCTCAGATGTGTTCTAGGGCAGCAACCAATCAGCAGCAAGAACTGACTAATGCTCTTAGACTGGCTACTTGCAACCCTCCTACCACCACCACCACACTCCCCAAAATTGCAGAGGATATTTATGCTTTCCACAAAATTTTGGGAGTTTCCAAGAACAATTATTAGGTTCTAAGGGGAAAAAAAATCCAAGAATGATTGCAGCCAGGTCTGAACTGTGACTTTGCAGAGATATAGATGACCTCTAGGGACATCCATAGTTGCAAATTTCTAGTTCTAAACCTTAAATGGTAGAATTTTGCTTCTCGCAGCCTGTAAATAAAGACACACACACACACACACTCACACTCAGTGTTGTGTCTCTATGTTCCCCAAAGCCTCATTCGGTCACGGATGAGGCTTTGCAGGGGTGGCTGGGTCTAGAGTGTGTGATGCTTGGATCCGGGTATATGATTACTAGATTAGTCCACCGATTGGTTTCCTTAGTTCTGGGTATGATTAAGGGTCCCCCACCTTGGGATGAGTGCTGTACACCCCAAGAGCAGGTAGTCTAGATAAGATATAAGGTACAGAAAGAGGGTCATTGCTTGTCCTTTGTTGCTTGCTGCCTTCTGCCTACTGGGAACTGCTTCTCCTCTGTGATGCCCCTTCACCATGCCACACTGCCTGGGAGCCAGCTAACTATGGACTGAAACCTCTACAAACTGTGAGCCAAATAAATCTTTCTTCCTTTAACTTTCAGTGTCAGGTATTTTTGTCTCAGGGATGGGAAAAGTAACAGACATACATAAATGAAGAGTAATTCATATACAATTAAGATAAAGGTCCATTGTCAAAAATTATGTGAAATTTGAGATACATTATTTCTAGTCATAGAAAACTAAATTAGGTTTTTGTTTAAAAATAAAATGTTGCTGGGCATGGTGGCACATGCCTGTAAATCCAGCACTGGGGAGGCTGAGGCAGGAAGATCACTGTGAGTTTGAGACCAGCCTAGGCAACAGGGTGAACTCAAGATCAGCCTGAACTTCACAGGGAACTCTGTCTCAAAAAGACGAAAACTAAATAAATTTAATTTAATTTAAAAATAAAATGTGATTTATCTTTTTACATATAAGAAAAATAGGCTAATATCCTGGCAGTAGATATTAAGGGAAAGAATCCTAATTAAAAGAAGATGTAATATAATGTGATTAGAAACCAAGTACTAACAGAAGCTGAAAGGACTCACTGATTCAAAACAGTATGAAAAAGCATTATGAGAGAAAAGAAATTCAAGAAATAAGAATACCAATATACCTAGTAAGTACAAAATGAATTTAACAAGAAAATGTGTATATAATAAAATTTTAGAATGTAGTCAAACTGTAAAGATCGATATCCTATCACCGTGTAATTATTAAAGCAGTGGAAATTTGTGGAATTAGCTATTCTCTTAGAACTTTAAAAAGTCTTACCTTAGCTAATTATTTTGGGGACCAATATTATCCTTTTTGAACACATCCAAGAAGTGTACTACCTGAAGTACCAAGAATTTAAGTAATTTATGCCAATGTTTCAGTGCCACATCCATGAAACTGGTACATGGAATCAAAAACTCTCCCTGTGACTCTTACATTCTCACTGCTAGACAGAATCCACTTTTTTTTCAGCATAGAGAAAACTGAACTCAGAAAAGGACAGGAACGTGGAAAGCTGCAGAAAGCAGTGTATTCAGACTCAGGTAAATGGAGACTTCTCCATCTCCTCCACTTCACCCCATTAGCCACTGATGCCATTCCCTCCTCCCCCATCTCCACCCTCCTCCGCTTCCTCCTCCTCCTTTTCTTTTTTTTTTTTTTTCTATTTTATTTTATTTTTATTTAAGAGGAAAAAGAGAAAAACACAAAACAAAACAAAGCGGTGTAAGGGTACACGTAATACAGAACTACACACACACAAAAAAAAAAAAACATAACAGTAAGAAATCACCTGTTAGTAGATTACATATTATCATCTTGAAAATAGTTGCTAAAATCACAGTATCAAAGAATACAAGGTGGACATTCAAACAGGGAGACTGCAAACAGCTGTGTTCAATGATCCAAAAACATTGATATAGTCAGCTATTTAACACTCCTTTAAACACACTTGCTGTTATATCCGTTAGAGCTCTTTTTCTTTTTTCTTTTTTTTTCCCTCTCTTTTTTACAACAAAATTTACACATTTTGGATTTTATTACTCCTTAGTGCTTATTGTCTTCTTTGGAAGTCCTGTAATGTTTACAATGCCTAAGTTTTATTGGTCTTGTTCTCTACTGTTTTGTCCAACTTTATAATATCTAATGAGATAGACAAATCTTTTTAAGGAAACAAGAGACAACGTTGATAACCATTGTTGATAACCTTGTACTCTGTTCTACACCATGTGCTATGTCTATCCTTGGTTTTGACTGACAGCTTTGTTTTGCCATATTTGACTGTATTCTCTCCCCTCC